AAAGATATGACACACACTTCACCAAATAAGAGCTAAAGATAGCCAAATAAGCATATGAAAAGATGCTCAGTCACGGACTGCAAATTAAATCCACAATGAGATACTATACATCTATTAGAATGGCTAACATTAAAACACACAAACAACTGACAATACCAAGTACTCGTGAGGATGTGGAACAACTAGAACTCCCATTCATTGCTGATGGGAATGCAAAGTGGTACTGTCACTTTGGAAAACAATTTTGCAGTTTCTAATAGAGTTAAATATGTATTTACCATATGATCCCACAATCCCACTCCTAGGTATTTACCCAAGAGAAATGAAACCACATGTTCACACAAATTTTATAGTTGCTTTATTTGTAATCATCCCAAACTGGAAAGAATCCCAATACTAGCGAATAGATAATCTATACACATGGATTAGTGAATAGCACATCCATACAATGGAATACTACTCAGCAACAAAAAGGAACTAACTACTGATGTACCCAACAACTTGAATAGATCTCAAGAGCATTATGCTGAAAGCAGCCAAACTCAAATGGCTACCTACTCTATGATTCCATTTATATACCATTCTGGAAAAGGCAAAACTATAGGGACAGAACACAGATAGTGGTTGCCAGGGGTTGGGAGTAGTGAGGAGGGGAGTGACTATAAAGGGAAATGGGGGAACTTTTGGGGTGCTGAAAATACTCTATATCTTGATTGTGGTGGTGGTGGTTACACAACTACATATTTTTGTCAAAACATAAAACTATAGCTAAAAAGGGTGAAATTTACTGGATATACAAATCCAAATTCAATAAACCCTGATGTAAAAAATTATGCTTATTTTTCCACTGATATAGTAAGTATTTAGAAAAAGCTGTTCTAAGAGATTTATATATGCTTTTTTTTCATGGTTTCTTTGCCATTGAAATAGGCCATAAAAGCCAATTAAATTGAATTTGCTTTTCCATTTTAGGGTGAGAGGTTTTACTGCCCCTGCCTAAATTAAGGCAACTCATGTCTCATCATAAGAATGTAGTCTTTCTCGTGACCTTAAAGTCCATGTAGCCTTTGTTTGTGGGGCTACAACTGCCTGTGAGAAATCAAGAGCCTGGGTCACAGACAATGCTTTTACTGGGCTCCAGTCCCCTCCCAAGAGGCTTGGGTCTATAATGCCGCCTCTCCCAAGCTGGTGGCCAATTTATTATCCTCCCCAAACTGGGACTGACATCCAGGACATTGGGAGAAAAAGAAACGTGGCCTTTCAACCTATACATCCTGGTATCCTTCACTCTCCCCAAACGTCAGGGGCTAGGAGAGAAAGGCCCACCAGGGCCCATTCTAACTGTGCTGTCCTGTTAAGGGAGTGTATTGTGGAGCTACATGGCATAAGTCCACTTCCCGCAGTGTGTGATGTCAGAAGATGAGAACTTTGGGTCAACCACCATAGTCTTGTCAATCAACTATGGAAAAGGTGCACCCTTGGACCCAGTTTCAAAGAGTAGGAAGGTGTCTGAGATGAGTGGCAGAGTCAGCTTATAGTTACATGGTCCAATACAGGAAGGGAACGTGATGTCTGAGACTGCTTGTGTGTCCAGGAATGGACAGATGTAAGAGACAGAGAAGGAAAGTGAATGACAGCACGACAGTTGGGTCTCCACTACTAGTATCTTCCAGGAACTCTGCGGGTGCTTGGTTGTACCTCATCCCATTTCATCCTTACCCCAGCCCTATAAACTAATATTGCTATCTTCAATTTACACATGTGGAAAATAAGGCTAAGAAGTTAAGCGGCTGCACGAGGTAAGTCAATAGCATCTGAGTTTTGACTTCTGGTCTGATTGCAAAACTCCTGCTTGTTCTACTACATAGGGAGATAGGGAAACTTCACCAGCCCCTGCAGTAGAATGCGGTTACTGTCATAGACCTGGAATTCGTCATTTTAACTTTTATGCTATTGGTAATCTTATTCTTAAATGAAGATTTTCTGGAAAGTGTTCCTGCATGTCAGTTTTACTAAGGGGAATGAAGCAAAAAGATGTTGGCCAAGCATGAGTTTCAACCTGGGGTCAATAACTATGGAGTAGTGAGGTGGACAGACAGAAAGTCAGACTCCTAAGAGCCATGAGAAACCATGGTGGAGGGGTCACAGTCAGAGGTCACCTAGGCGTCCCTCCCCACTTGGAAATTTATTCAGTCCTCCCTTTGTTCAGACCTTGGGGGACATGGGGTTATTTTACCAAGGGAAGCAGTTTGTAAGTGGGGGCTACCAGGGGAGTGTTGGTCCAGGGTTTCCAGTATCTGTGGCCCCTCTGAACCTTTGAGTTTGGCTTCAGTGAAACTATCTGACATGCTTGTGCTCACTGTTGATCCCACCACTGCCCAATTTCAGGTCTTGCCTCTTTTTGGCAAGGCTTTAGTAGTCGCAAGGTAGTCTGTTCGTGGAACAGCCCTGGGGGCCAGAATTCTGCTGATAACCCCTTCCCAGCAGCTCCTCTGGGGCCCTGGAGCAGAGCAATGTCCATAGTCCTCCCTACTCTGTAGGACGTCCCTAGACTCCTCAGGACTCTCCAGCTATCTTCATCTCCTTTCTCAGGGATGCTCAGGGCCCAAGCGTTAAAAGCACACTAATAAAAATGGCGACTCACAATCGAATGTTTAGGGCTTTGAATGCTTACCCCTTCTCCCAAAAGGGGGCTGTGCAACTCATGCCTGGAGCACCTCACAGCTCCCCAAACAGATAGCCAAGCAGAGTCATGGGCCATCAGTGACTGTCAAAGAGCAAATGTTTCAAAATTACATCTCCCCCACCAAGGACAGTACCTTTGCTCAAGCTTACCTTTTTGCCCAGTATCTAACCATAAAGAGTCTGTCTGTTGAATCAGCATAAAGAGTGAACACTAATGACATCCTTTATCTGTTTATGCGACAAGTTCTTCTACCCAAAGGATCTCACCAGTTTTCTTCACTTTACAAATAGTCACTTTTCAGTGATCTGTGCCAATGGAATGCAGCAGAAAAGCAGAACCCACTCCCCAGTCATGTATATTTGGCTTTGGAAGAAATGTTAATACTTAAACGTGAATGTGGGTGTCCCTCTGGCTGTAGGAATCCACAGTACTCTGCATCAAAGGAATGCGATCACCAGAGAAGGAACCACTTATTAGACGCTGGGAAATGCTCCTCTTCTGCTCCCAGATGCACTCTTCCCTGCACGATTTTATTTCAAACAACGTCCCTATGGTAGATAGATGGCAAAAAGGGCCCCATTCTCCCCCTCCTTGTATCTGCCCCTCTTCCCAACGTCATTCTGTCTTCTCTTAAAGAGGTGGGGGTCTGTTTCCCCATCCCTTGAATCTGTCTGCCCTTGGGTCTTGCTTGGCAAACAGAATGTGGCAGAACGTAGAAGCGTTCTCTCGGAACCCTACCACCACCATAAAAACACAGCCAGGCTAGCCTGCTGGGAGGATGAGGGACCGTGTGAAGAGGGCTCAGTCTAGCCCAGGCAACCCCCAGCCAGCCAGCCTGCAGACTGCACACGGGTGACCAAGCCAGGCTCACTGAGGCCTGAAGAACCAACCAACTTGAACCAACCCACAGAACTGTGAGCTCAATAAATGGTGATTGTTTCAAGCCATCAAGCTTTGCGGTGGTTTGTTACACAGCCCCCCCCCCCCCATATGAAAGTTTCAATACATCACATTCAAACTGCTCTTTGCGCTTACAGGTAGAAAGAGAAACTAATTCTTCCTTCTTCTGGTAGTTGAGTTAAATGTGAGTAGGAAACCCTAAACACCACTTCCCTTTTAACTCTTTCACTGCATAACCAACCTGTATTTTATTTATTTATTTATTTATTTATTTATTTATTTATTTATTTATTTATTTATTTATTTATTTTTGTGAGGAAGATCAGCCCTGAGCAAACATCCATGCTAATCCTCCTCTTTTTGCTGAGGAAGACCGGCTCTGAGCTAACATCTATTGCCAATCTTCCTCCTTTTTTTCCCCAAAGCCCCAGTAGATAGTTCTATGTCATAGTTGCACATCCTTCTAGTTGCTGTATATGGGATGCAGCCTCAGCATGGCCCAGAGAAGCAGTGCGTCGGTGTGCGCCCGGGATCCCAACCCAGGCTGCCGGTAGCGGTGCGTGCGCACTTAACCGCTAAGCCACGGGGCCGGCCCCCAACCTGTATTTTAAAGAATTTTCTTATGAGATCAGCAGCAGATATATCATCAAAGCAAGGCATTTTCTGTCCCAACTCTGTTGTCGAGGTTTCCACCAATAAGACACCAGAAAACCAACTTACACCATAGAGATCAGGAATAAGTCAGATCATTATTTCACAAAGAATTCTGTTTAAGCAAGCCATGAAAAAGAATCTTTTATGGTCAAATATAAGTTTAATAATCTCTTTATCACATGCCCTAAACAATTTTTCATTATTGTCTTCATTTCATTCTGTTTACATTTGTCACATATATCTCTATGATACACAGACACAGACCAAAATTTGCTGTACATTTCCCATCATTTAATTGTCTTTGGATCAATACAGAATTAGTAAAGATCAGTGTGGGAAAGAATACTACCTTTTTCTGAAAGTAGATTCTTATGTATTTATTTAGCACCTTTTATTTAAGGAGCTCAAGATATTTTAATAGGCACTGTAGCATCCTTTTGTTATCTCTGGGTAGAGAAAGTGTCAAAAATGATCATTAGTGCCTTTTTATAGAAAAAAAATGAAAGCACAGAAAGGTAAACTAATATCAGTGAGATGATGACAGTCACAGTAGAAACTTGGGTCTTTAGCCCAGCATGGCACTTGGTGAACTACAGTTTGTCTGTTTAAGATACTCTATATTAAAAGGCATAATGGTTTCTTCCATTTTTATAACATCTCTCTTTGGATGGATGTTAACTAAAAGGGCAGAACAGACAGTAAATTCCCACCAAGCAATCATTCTGGCAATGCAGTTATTTCCTGCAGTTTTTTATGTCAGCTAAGGAGTCCCATAAATTCTAGAGCCATCCTCTGCTTCTCCATTAAAAATCACAATTACTGCTACCCTTTCAGCATTTCCAGTAGATCTGCAACCAGTAGCGAGAAACCAGTGACCAATGGTCATTCCCTTCAGCTGGGCATTTGTGCCATTAAAGTCTGGACAGTGACAACTATCAGCACTCTTAAAACCTACCAGATCCACAAAATTAACTGTAATATGCTTAGATTTTTAACTTTTCTCTAGTATTTGAGGAGAACAAATGCTCACTGGCCACAATAGATGGGACAACTCAGGTAATTCCTTTCAAGCTGACTCAGACTCTATATTTCTTCACAAGAGGGCTGATGCTAAGAGAAAAACACCTCTAGGGTAAGTTTCCTTCAATCCACAATGTGAAGACTTGGTTTTTAATTTAAATGCATTGGAAAATAGCAGGAATGTTTTCCACTTCTACAAGGCTAAATTACAATTATTTTGGAAGAAAATAGGGCCTATTGCCTAAACACATGTATGCCATTCCTATCCAGAAATGGAAATTAATACTTCCATTTTATTCTTTCTTTCTTAAACTTCCCTGGCACCTTCTTTGCACTCTGTGCAGGCTATCCCTGTGTGCGTTCACTTTTCTCTTCTTTTCCAGAGAGACATCAAGAATAAGAATGCCAAGCTGCAGCAACTTGGATTTTTAGAGATTTAGTTGCCAAAGTACCTGACTGCCTCAGCCGGAAGGAGTAAACAAATCACCGCAGGGAATGACCCATCCTGGGAAGGCGTAAGGGAGGATGCAAACTGCAACTTAGTTCTGCCCAAGCATTGACACAAACGTCAAGACATTCAGGGGGCAAAATGGGGTTTCCCTTTTTCTTTCCTTTAGAAAAATGGAAACAGAAAATTTTTCAAAAACGAAAAGTTTCTCCACTTGTTCCCTGAGCCTACCTCCACGCTTCACATGTCCAGCTTTTTCCCCCAAGTGCTTAGTACAGACAACCCCTCCCTCCAAAAGCCATCACCCAAACACAGGCACCTACTTGTGAGAAGGGGTGCAAAAAAAATATGTAAAATAGACCGTCACCCTTAGGAGAATTTTCAAGAAAATCCTTAAGTAGTCAAAAAAATGGTGGTGGGGAAGTAACAAGAAAAATGTTAAGAAAGTGACATAAATATAGGAGAAAAAAATAAAGACCCAAATAAGACGGGACAGCCATAAAAACAGATGTCATAAAGAGACCAGTACTGATGAAACGATAAGGGGAGGTGGGAGAGGAGGGAGAAAATCCCTAAAAGGAGGTAACAGCGGAGCGACCAAAGACAGCAACGTGTACCTGGGTCATTAGTCGGTACGTGACTGTGGACATCAGTGAATGGTGATAACAAAGGTACGTTTTTTTTTACAAGTCCCCGATTCTATGGAGAGCAGGTGGGCAGAGAACGTCAGGTAATTGGACGCAGATGTACCGAATGGAGGGGCGGAAAGACGCAGATCGGGCCCCGCCCCC